CGCGGTGAAGCTCAGATCACAGATAGTCAGAGAATAATGTGAATACCAATACGGGCAAACTATGGTGTGCTACAACAATAACTACAATTACACCTACATCTGTAACTATACCCAAAACTCCCCCTCTCTGTACCACACCTCCTAATGTTTCCCTTGCAGATCTCCCTCCTCTCTGCCTCTACCTCACCTCTCTCCCCTCTCTCCCCCCTCTCCCTCTCACCTGCAGATCCCCTCTCCCTCTCACCTGCAGATCCCCTCTCCCCCTCTCTCCCCCCTGCAGATCCCCTCTCCCCCCCTCTGTCCCCACCTCATTTCCTAATTCAGCCATTTCCTAATCTTCCCGTAACAGATGCTCACCCCCACTGATGATCAGTCGTCGTGCGTAGCCGATGAATCCCAGGTAGCGCTTGCGTCGCAGGAACGCCGTCTCGCTGGCGAGGATCGACGGGAACATGCAGTTACGGAAGAGCGCGAATGCGACGTACACCTGCTGGCTGTTATCTGCAATGTTAGCCGGCACAAACAACCTATTACTCCCCTGCATATAGCAGCCACTCAAGAGAAACAGCAATCCTTTTATGGACAGGTGGCACGTTTCATAGAGACGGTTTCACTGTATAACTGCCACACAAAGGAAATTCCAAACGTGGCCTATATCATGGACTGGAGGCCGTTCTATGGAGGTGACTGCTAACACATAGGCTATATATTATACAGATGGTCATTATGTCAAAGTTTGAAATCCCCACTATCGTCACTGATTACAAGGAGCTATTGCAAATTCCAGAAGCCATGCTGTCTACTACTAGATCAGGATCTGGATACTGCGCTGAAAGCCAGGGACACAAGAACATTTTAAAGCACTTGCGCTGTTTAAAAAGACAATTGCTAGTCAATGTGGTGTATGGCTAATGGTCTAATCAGATAACCACTGGCTATATATATATACCATACATATATATATATATATATATATATATACACACTACTACCATACAAAACATCAAATAACTAGACTGCATGGATAGTCAATAAAACTATAACCCTGTTACATTGATGATCATTGGTGACTGGTCACTGCTGACGATCGCAGATCATTCCCACAAGTAATTGTAATCAGAAGCTGAGCTACTATATAGAATGTAATTGCTTGTCAAAGCACATCAAGTAAGCACTATATGCTGTATCTTGGATCGTTCAAAAAATCTGTTATATAGACAACAGTAATCATGCTACCACATCGCCTGGTTAGCAGATCTAGGGCACATTACCATAATTTATATGGGCTCATAAACACTTAACAACCAGTAAACACATTTGCAAAAATCCGGATACGCAACTTATACGGACATGGTTTTACTGTAGAAGAATGAGTATGAGACGGTGTTAGAATGCACAATCTCACTTTTTTTAAATTGCTCATAACATTTAGCCGAGTCATGCATACCTAGAATGTGCGAGATCACAAGTAGAGCTTTGATGAGAAACCCGATAAATGTCACGACTGCGTGGAATCTGTAGTCCTTGTTGATGGCGGTCCCTGGTGGCGCGCTTCCAAACCACGCAGCAGTGGCTGTTAGGCCTAACATGACCAGATGGAAGCCTGCTTCCTTTGGTCCAAATTTCCACATAAACCCCGACGTAGAGTCAGCTGTTAATTAATAAAACAACACTTTCCCTGTACGGCAGGTGACAACATGCTATTCTCCTATCTATGTAACAATAGCAATAACTTCATAATACGCATGCTGACATCAAATTTTATTTTCTGTCCATCCCAATCCAACAATCCCTAATACTTTTGTCTATCAGTATGTCTGGCTGGCCGGCTAGCTAGCTATCCATCTATTCATCCAGCCTGCCAGTCAGCCTGCCAGCCAGCCAGCCAACCATCCAGCCAGCAAGCCAGCTAGCTAGCCAGGCAGTCAACCAGCCTGCCTGCCGGCCAGCCAGCCATATACCTGCCAATATCTATTTCCTCAGGAGTGAATGAACAACCATAAATATTTGTCTATAGCTCTTCACACCTTTCACACAGTTCCTGCCTTCCACACGATGCTCAGTGGTCGTACCTGCAGTGTTTCTGCGTAACCGTAGACAGAACAGGTCGAGGCTGAGGAGGTATCCGAGGCAAGCACCCACCAGCAGCGATGCCAGCACGGAGGGCATGTAGCAGACGATAACGACACTGCCCACCGACAGCACGAACGTCACTATTAACCTACGGAGCATGAGTAGAGATATTTAATGACAGCGATATATATTGCAATATTGATATACAGGTGCTGTACAACAAAGCAGGAATAGATACGGTAGATAGAGAATATCATGAATCATTGAAGTTCGTTGGTGAATAATTAAAACGGCGTATATCCGCAGGTGTAAACAGCGTTACCTGATTTGCTTTTTCTCTGATAAGACATTCGCACGATTGTTTAATCTGCCATTCAGTAAGAAGCTGGCCGTATTAGACCGACATGATCCGATCATTAATAAAAGAAGCAAATATATTTATATCAATTACTATTACGATAAACCACCTCAGGTCGGTTGCCATAGGGGACCCTCCAAGCAGAAGAACAACTGTCTGTTCAAGCAGCCATAGAAAAAGAGCATCAGGCGGTGGAAGCATTCCCACTGCCCACAGGAGCGGCAGGAAAGGAAATGCGATGTGTAGTGCGGAGGACAGCGTCCAGTGACTAGCTGACGTCATATGCTCGATGCCTGGCTGGAAGCTGAAAGAAGAAGATGCCAACTAGACTCAAAAGTCTAGGATTCCAAGTCTACTAGGATCCCGATTCCAGAATCGACAGAATGCAAAATCTTGTTTTCTCTCTAGTCCGATCCGAAGTCTAAGAGACAAGGACATGGACAATGCGGCTTGCTTGGTGAATGAACTCAGCCAAAGTGGCTCCCTAGGTTAGAACATTATCAACGCGTGAAGGCACCCTGTTGGTGTTATCAATTGATGCATCATCATGCGTGACAAGGTTTAATTTGATAGAGCTACGGCAACTCGACTGAACTCTGAAAATTAGGCATGTACAGCATTTTAAAGAAGACACGAAAGCAGGACTTTTCACCAAAATTCTTTAAACTATTTATTTCAGACTAATAAAATTCGCGTTTTCATGGTTTACAACGTCAACAGCTGACATTCAGCCAGCTATATTCTGCATCCTAAAACCTTGCTGTTTCAGTGAATCATGCTGCAGCTTTCGTTAGCTACTCATAACACTCATCATCTATATATACAGATGTTATGCATTTGCATATTTTTACCAAATAGTGTTTTGCGTCTTATACAGTAATAACTGGCTACAAGACTACGATACGATGCTATAGTATAAATTGCCGACAGTGGTATATATAGCGTAAGTGCGAACAACATTGGAAGGCAGTGCCGGATGATTAAATATTATCCATTCGAGCTTTATTTTGGTCCTTGTATTGTAACGTTGATGCCAAGTTGCTAGATTAATTTACATTATTTAACTTTTGTGTGTACTAGCTTACTTTTTCTGTAAAATTGTTAAATATTATTACAATAATAAAATACGAGTTAAAGGCAATAATGATAATTAATTTATTACTAACTAAATCAATAATGATCCAGATTAATAACTCATTATAAAATCAATAATGATCCAGATTAATAATTAAATAAATAATACAACATACGTTGATAATTAGACAATTAACAATATAAATATTAACAATAAATTATATTACTGGCAATCGAGTCATACATCGTAAATGGAGCTGTAAACGTACGTTGCACTTATACATAGCTAGGACTCATACATAGCTAGACTCATACATAGCTAGACTCATACATAGCTAGACTCACACACAGCTAGACTCATACATAGCTAGACTCATAGCTAGACTCATACATAGCTAGACTCACACACAGCTACTGTGACTCACCACATGGCGGCGTCGACGACGACGACACACAGCACGTAAACGACTCTCAGCGTGCACGCGATCTCGAGGCGGTCGGCGGCCGCGTACACGGCGGGCTCCGGGGGCCGGCTGACGACGAGCGCGTACAGCGCGACGCACAGCGTCAGCCAGCCGAGCGTGAGCAGCACGACGGTGGCGCCGGTCGACGCGTACAGGCCGGAGAGTCGCGACGGCAGCAGGAAGAGCATCGTGAGCGCGGCGGCGGCGCCCGCGAGTGCGCCGTGCGCGACCACGCTCGCCCAGTGCGCCTTCGCCGCGATGACGAAGCGCGCCGTCTCGGGCGCCCACGGCGACGCGAAGCTGACCTCGTCCTCGTCGGCGAGGAGGTTGCTCTTGGCGACGCGCAGCGGCGTGACGATGCGACGCCGCACGACGCGCGCGTACACCTGCAGGGCGACGCTATAGATTGCGACCGCGCCGCCGCAGACGGCCGCCGCAACGTGCCACCGCGCGGCGCCACACTCCGCCGCCGCCGTGCACGCGCCGCCGATGAGCGCCGGCGTGAAGAACAGCGCCACCTGCACGAAGTAGACGTACCACGGCACGCGGTAGCCGACGTTGAGGCGGACGCCCCCTAGCAGCGTCTGCGGGAAGCGCTTCCAGAAGAACTCGCGCTTGTACGGGTTTAGCACTTGCAGATGCATCACGGTCGCATGTTCGCTCGCTTGCGCAGACTATCGCACGACACGCCCACACATCTGCCACACGGCGAACAAAGTTTTCAGCAGAGCACGCCCAGTATCAGGGCACACACCTGCGCGAAATGTTTCCTGGGAATAACACGCCGAGCATACGGCAGACGAACGCACACGCAAGCATTTTGTCACACGGGTATGACGTGCTCCCTTGGACCTCTCTGTCAGTGCTGCACGGTCACCTGCAACATGAACAGTGACATAAGTTAATGCGTACATACAGCCAGGGTAGGATGTAATCAGGAGTCTATCTGTTAATCAATGTAATTCGGGGGCACTGAACCAAATTTCCGTTCGTGGGCACGTGAATAACTCGCACGCACACTTTCATGCACCGTGCATCTGACCCTATTCCCGAATTTTTCAAGTTCATCCTATGTATGATAAGCAAAATGCAGCAATGACTATCCATTGCATTCGTATGCATTGTATGTCATAGGTATTTCTCGTCTGTGATAAACCGGCTTGTCTGGCGTCTGGTGAGAATTACTGCTGGCTAGAAATTTTTCTTCAACTTGAAAAATTCTTTCTTGCTCACTGCTTTATTAGATTTTTATTATGACTCCGCTGGCAACTAGCAATAACGTTTGCCTACATACCGAGATGTGTATATATATATATAGTAGTGTTACAAGACGGCAAAACACATACATGGACAGCCTCATTACAGAACCAACGTGGAAAGTAGCAAGCATTCATTTCCAGATTTAAGTTAACTAGGTCAGTGCTACACAGAAATGTTCACATTCACACGTTTGAAAGTGATGTGAAAAAAAAGTTGTGACAGAAGCATGTAAAGGCAAAACCGTGCCTCTCCCATTTCTTCTTTTCATTTTACTCTTATATCATCTATGTCATTTTATCTAACATCTATGTCATTTTATCTAACATCTATGTCATTTTATCTAACATCAATGTTTATAAGATATTTTTACCAGTACAGCATGTTTAACTTTAAATTATGGAGGTACACCAATTAATATCAGTTACTTTACTTATCATTAGCTCCTACTGTACTTATCATGAGTATAGCTCTGCTAAGTACTGCTACTGCTGCTGCTGCTGCTGCTGCTGGCACTGCTGCTGACATTGCTGCTGCTGACGATACTGGCGCTGCTTCTGCTGCTGCTGTTGCTACTGCTACTGATGTAAGTTGTGTTGCTGCTGTGGCTGCTGCTGCCACTTCTGCTGTTGCTACAGTTGCGAAGGCTGTTGCGACTGCTGCAGCCACAGCCGCTGCTGCTACCGTTGCCGACACTGCTGCTGTTACCTCTGCTGCCGCTGATGCTGATGTTGATGCTGACGCTGCTGCCACTGCTGCCATCATTAATGCTGCTACTACTGCTGCTGTTACTGCTGCTGCCACCACCACTGCTGCAGCCGCTGCTGCTACTGTTGCTAATTCTGCTGCCACCACCGCTGACACTGCTACTACTGTTGCTGTTGCTACTGTGACTGCTGGCGCTGTGCTACTGCTAGTAGATAATACTGCCACTGCTAGTTTCCTAGGTGATTCTGCTGCTGTTACTGCCAGTGCTGCTGTCACTGCTCCTACTAATACTCTTGTCGCTATTACATTCAATGGTAATGAGCAAAATGGGAGATTGGCAATAATTTAATTAATGCTTATAATGCACACCTGGTGCTGGTTAACAAACTGCACATATTCTGGATACACACAGCACTTTGACATGGATATAGAGAACATACATCTCACACAAATAATGCCTTTTGCTTGTCCAACTGACTCTCGATTGTAAGATTTCATAGGTTAAGTCGTTGTGTTATGGGCTGCAAAGCGAAATACCCTTAATATCGGTAAAAGAAATTGCATATTCGCATTTTCCTGACCTTTGACTCTTGATATCCAATTTATCTACTTTACACAGCCTTTATGGATTGCCCCCATCTAACATGTTGAGAACAATTGCCCCCATCTAACAATTGTATGAATACCCATGTACCGATCACTGACATATGAATAGTGTAGGTAACATATTAACAGTTAAGTGTAGGTGAAGCCGTTTTGATCCGTGCCGCTATCGTTGATAAACAGACTTGTAAACCAACAGACACTTCTTCGTTCACTTGCTATTCAACTCACTCCCTCTGACAATTTTCAGATGAGCTAAAATTAGCATATGGCATATAAACCCAACTACCTAGTTTACCATGTCTGAGCAGCACTGCCCCTAGGCAGCATTCATTAAGCTGCTAATGCTAGCCGCACACTATATACGTTTTTGCGCAGGCCGCAGTCGTAAGCCTTCGCACACTATACCACCTGCCCCCAATTGATCGGGAGGCCCCCGCACACTGTACGACTCAAAGTCGGCACTAACCATGGCGCTCTCGTGGCGTTCCAAGTGGATTTAGCGTGTACTAAGGGTCGAGAGTGTTTCCCCGCCATTTTTACCAAATGCGGTTCCCATGGCGCTGCTCTGTGATTGGTCAATTTTCTTCAGCGCTCGGCAGCGGGTCGGATGGCCACGCATACTATCCGAGTCGTGTCGTAAGCCCTCGCACACTATACGACCCGCTCCGCTCCCGATTCAAGATTCGAATCGGCCCAAAATGACCTCCCGATCCAGACGTAAGCCTCCCGATCCTGCTCGGGCCGTAGAGTGCTGTTATATGCAGATACTGGTAGACCTGAGGTTGCTGGATTGAAAATAATATTGCAGTGCTAAACACAAGTAACTTGGGTTCATAGTGCCATGGTGAATCGTGATTATCAACAGTAAGCACATAAAGGAGGACTCACTTTGGATTATAAATATAGCCATTGGCAATCAATTTTGTTGATAATATAAATTAGTCATCTCAAGTTTTAAATAAAATATAAAGCAGCTATTGCATTAACTCCACGAAAAAGGCGGAGACTGTGGATTGATGTTAGTATTGAAGCCACGCAGGCTACAATGAAGTACAATTTATTTTTACTGCAAAATTATTTGATGCCACCATATAATGACAAGTGACGAAGGTAACAGTTCTGACCACCTGGATCAAAAACTTGACAGTGTCATATATTATGATTACATCTGTCATCACCTGTATGTGTTTTTCTTATTTCATTATTCATTTTTTCCTTATGCTTTATGATGCTTTTAGGTTAAATTTGTAAATTTATAGGCGAATGATAAATACCATGGTGGATTTTTCTGTTATTTGCAACGTAAATAGTTACATATATATATATATATATATATATATATGTATATATATATATATATCTTCATGCATGGTTTCAATGTGCTAAAATAGTAAAATGTTACACAAAATGTTTTCCGCACTTTGGTGGGTGATTCTAATTAAGTTGAGTATTGGTGTATAAATTTAGTTCTCTTATTTGTATACTGATAATGCAGGGGAGTTAGTTTACTATTTAAAGTTTACAAACTAAAAAGTCGTTGATTGCGCTTACTGTCGAATAAATTGTGTAATGAAATGTAGGTGACCTACTACTACTACTACTACTACTACTACTACTAGTAGTAGTACCAAAGAGCTTATAATGAATATAATAATTATTAATAATAATTTATTATTATAATAATCACTATAAGTATAACTATAAGCTCTTTGGTAGTACTACTACTCACTACTGACCGCCACAAATGCTAGATGGCCTGCTGTATGCGTACATCATGTACGTGTAGTCCGACCAGGTTCTACGACTGTTTGACGAGTCACGAGTGTTTCAAATTGTAGGAGATACGTACGTAACGTAGTGAGAACCAGAAGGTAGAAGCGAGAAGGTAGCTTCTGGCTAACGTGAGTAATGTGTATTCAATATTGTGTATCCATGGCCACGGGCACCCACACTTTATCCACTTTACACGATACGTTACCAGTCTCACCACGTACGATGTTATCAAATATCCACAATTATGTCTTTCTTGATGTGTGCCCTCAAGTCACGGAAAACAAAAATTTACGACGGCAGATACTGAATTGGTATGGTAACTTACCGGATTCTTGTGATGTGACGAAATCTTTGGTTCCGCGGTATTGTTTTGATTTGTTTACGACAGATAAATTGAGCCACGCATTCAATCTCTATAATCGCGTCTGCTTAAAACAGGAGAGGAAAAATATATTTACGAATTTATGCAATTTTAAGTTTGTTTTCAATTATTTGTGTGTGTTTCTCATTACGATTATTAGTGGTCATCGTGAATATGACTAGATTCTCGAACCTAACAGCCCACTCAGTCACGATTTTATTCCGCATGGTGTCGCCACCGTGTTGAAGGTGTCTCGCATCAGCTGTTGTTATGTTAGCAGTGGGTTCCTAGTTGATGTGACGTCGTTTCAGTCACAGGCACTTGAAGCGTTTCAATAAAATATAATGCTAACTAAATACGAAATCTATTTACTACCAAATTCTTAATGTTTCTATACTCTCTTTCACCTATTATTGCCGACAGTTTCCTGGAAATTCCGTCCAAATCCTACGTGCAACCATATACGCTGCAGCCGGCCATTGCTCTCGCGGCTCCAGTGTTGCACGCTTACACTTATATATAGGCCTATAGTGTATATATGTGTAGGGTATATAGTGTATATATAGGGTATATAGTGTATATATAGTGTATATAGTGTAGTAGTATATTATATATATATATATATAAAAGTGTAAGCGTGCAACACTGGGGCCGCGAGAGCAATGGCCGGCTGCAGCGTATATGGTTGCACGTAGGATTTGGACGGAATTTACAGGAAACTGTCGGCAGTAATAGGTGAAAGAGAGTATAGAAACATTCAGAATTTGGTAGTAAATAGATTTCGTATTTAGTTAGCATTATATTTTACTGAAACGCTTCATATAAGTGTAAGCGTGCAACACTGGAGCCGCGAGAGCAATGGCCGGCTGCAGCGTATATGGTTGCACGTAGGATTTGGACGGAATTTACAGGAAACTGTCGGCAGTAATAGGTGAAAGAGAGTATAGAAACATTCAGAATTTGGTAGTAAATCGATTTCGTATTTAGTTAGCATTATATTTTACTGAAACGCTTTATATAAGTGTAAGCGTGCAACACTGGAGCCGCGAGAGCAATGGCCGGCTGCAGCGTATATGGTTGCACGTAGGATTTGGACGGAATTTACAGGAAACTGTCGGCAATAATAGGTGAAAGAGAGTATAGAAACATTCAGAATTTGGTAGTAAATCGATTTCGTATTTAGTTAGCATTATATTTCATTGAAACGCTTCAAGTTAGTGCCTGTGGTTTCAGTGGCAAGTTTCACTGTATTTTAGCTACTATTATTATTATTATTGAATCTTTATTGCATCTAATTCAGATACAAATACATGTACTGACAACAGTTTTTTTAATGGCGAAAAAATCGGATAAATGCAATAGTGTTGAGTAGTTAAAATGATAAAATTTCTGACTGATACAGTACAATACAATGCTATACAACATGAAGAAAACAAAAAGAAAAAAGAAAAAGAAAAAACTTTAGCATATTCTGTACTAGTAAAGTGATTAAGATAAGTGTTGAGTAGTTAAAATGATGTTTTTCTGAGTGCAACAGTACAAAACAGTGCGATACAACATGAAGAAAAAATATATACACGAAAAAAAACTTCAGCATATTCTGTACACGCTACTAATACTTGTGGGAGCGAGACACCACCACTACGGAAGTATTAGTGAACCGAACATGCCCGTGAACGTGGGTGGGGCTCCTATGCTATAGTTACTTGGCATGTAGGAATTAAACAAATTTCTTGATCAAACTCCGTGTGAAATAACTCTTCTTAACGTAAAGATTTCCACTTATATATCTTCTCTATGACGACGGTATCGTCGCGTAATGTAGCGCGCGTGTGTGCGTGCGTGTGCGTGCGTGTGTGGGCGTGTGTGTGCGTGTGAGGATACGTGCTTGCCTTCATGTGTGCCGTGTGCTGTACTTGTGTCATGTGCGTATGCGAGTGCGAGTGCGTGTGCGTGTGCGTCTGTGCGCGTGTGTGTGTGTACCATTTACCATTTACCATTTACCACTTACCATGGCGCGTGGCCACCATTTACCATGTAATGCATCTATATTTCTCTTGGCGAGGGGCAACTGCGTTACAAAAGTGTGTGCGTATACATGTATGTACGTGCTTATGCGCGCGGGCGAACGTGTATGCGTGCGTGCGTGCGTGCGTGCGTGCGTACGTGCGTGCGTCTGCGTGCTGTACGCGCGCACTGCGTAGTTATGTTATATTTCTCTCGCAGAAAATGATCCGTCGCGCCGCCTGGCGGGAATCTTTGCAGCAGCCGCATCCCTGGCAGCGGTTGGTATGGGATGGATATTCTGGGCGCCTTCGTGGCCATCAAACCCGCGTAGCTAAAACAGCCGGGGATCCTACGATTTGATATCCCCTTGGCGGAAACAGCGCCTGTTTCGGTAAGTTACACAGAATAATATGGTTAAGGCGGTGGCTATGACGACGACGACAGCAACGATCACGAAGACGATGACGATGATAACATTGCGTACTCTGAGCTTGTGAGAACGCCCTATACGCGTTCCCGCGATGCGCGCACCATGCAGACGAGCTAATCGGACGGCCTCGGTTTCATGTATGATTATCTAATATCCATTCTCAACCCTATTGCTCATTTTTCGATACAGCTGCCTCTCCCGCCTCTCCCCACAAATGTGTCTCTCTCTCTCTCCCACCATCACCCGACGCTACGCTCTCTCCCGTCTTTCCCTGACACCTCTTTTCCCTCCTTCTCTCTTCCATTAACTTCTCTCTCTCTCTCTCTCTCTCTCTCTCTCTCTCTCTC